TCTTTTCTATCACAACCATGTAACGGATTTTAAACTGAACACACACTTACAAACTGCTTTAAGATCTGCGATAAACGTTTACATATATAAGTAACGGAACGAGCAAGTGTTAAGCGACACACCTACACATAGCACTTGCAGTATCACTCAGAGCTTTAAATCGCAAAGAACTGAGGGACACTGCCCTTGCGCCCGTCACCCTGAGACATAAGTTGACAAGTCCCATGTGCCTGTAATTTCACCAGCACCCTTCAAAACCGGAATGCAATAATGCTCACATTGGCTTACATACTGCTTGGCGGCAGAAATAAAAAAGGTAGGGCAGTACTCACAAATCTTTGGGATGTAAAATTCTGAGCGGCAGTACTGCAACTGTTATAGACAAGCGTGTCGCTTACCACCGCTTGTTTGCCACCACGACTTGTTCGTCCCGTGGTATCGTAAAAAAATTACAATTTAGGTTTCAAGATTTATGTAAGTGCGTATCTAAATAATTTAGTAGTAGTTTTATTTCGTCTAAACGCCATTGAGCTGAAAATTTGCCGCGTATATTCCGCCTAGTGCATCGCTAACTAAAGAGGTTGCCGACAAGAAATGCCGATTGTGAATTTCCTGTACCTACTTCGAAGATGCGTAAGATTTCTATATTACGTAACTGTTATCCATTTGTAGAAAGCAAGTATAAAAAACCAGTTTTGTTCCACGTTTACATGTTTTACTTGTCCAATTTTTGCTTATGATCTAGTTTTAGGTTGTTTTTTACTTACCTCAACCTAAGCGGAAATATGTTATGGAATATAGTGCAATGATACCTTAATGTTTGAAAATTATTTTGCGTAACAAATATACTACGCAATAATATACTTTGTTAAATAAATAGATATGCACACACCGGCACATTTAATGGAACACCAGTAAAAATACCAAAATAAATATATGCAATAAAATAAAATAATGTAGTATTTTAACGAACTTCACAAAGCAGTAGGTTCTCAATTAGACTGTAAATTTTTTGCGTTGTTGCAACTGTTAGTTGTGGAATGCGCAACGGGAAGTGAGAGTGACTACAGCTCCGGTACCTATCTGGAAAGTAAGGAGCGTACTGTGTACCCGGAGTGGCTAGAAATAGGTAAAGTGGCAGTACTTCCCTGGACGAACTGTTTGTGACACCCTGTAAGGGCACAACAAAGTAATGAGGACACTTACTCATTATATATAAAGCAATAAAATTGTGATCATATTAAATAAATCATTAAAAAATATACATGCATAAGATAAATTGAGAACAAACAAATTAATTACGTTATAAATTATATTTTGTCATTGAAAAATTCTTTAATACAATAATAAGTTTTATTTATGAGGAATTCTTTTAGACGTTTGGAGAAAATTTTAAATTCTTGAATTTCTTTTACATAAATTGGTATGTGATTGTAAATTTTTGTTACCATAATTTGCGGTCCAGAACAAACTAATTTCAATTTAGAAAATCGTACATGTACCTAGTTGATGTAGGTTTCTATTGTTACGTGTAATTCAATTTTCGGAGTAAACAAAGTGGGATGGTTTCTAATAAATTTGCACGACATAAATATATACATACCTGTTAAAGTTAATATGCCTAATCTTTGAAAGAGAGGTCTACAGGATTCTCTCTGTTCTATACTTATCAATATCCTAACACACTTTTTCTGTAGTACAAATACATAAAATATTTGTGTGATATCAGTGAATAAAGTGTTTATCTATGCGTCGAATTAAATCAAACGTAGAATGTTCAAAACATCAGCAACCTACGATAGGTACGATTTGTCGAGAAAGCAGACTCATTTTTTCCTTGTAAATCTGGTGCATCCTGGGCAACAATCGCCGAATACATTACGCAGCTTGGTAAATCATTTTAGCATGATGCATTACAATGTCTACCGTCGATACGATAAGAAGAAGTAGCGTTACATAATTTGAAAATTCCCCTATAATGTCTCCTCTATGCAAGAGTTCTATTGCCAACAATTCTTATTAATTCACAGAATACATTACAATATTTATGTGTAACCATTTCTCATGGTTTTTCTAATAATAAATGAAAATTATCTAATCAATATGGAAATAAACCAGTTTAAGTTATAAGGGCTATCGCACTTTCAACAGAAAATGGTCATTATACAACGACATTGGCAATCCAAAAACATATCAAATTTGAATATAAAGTGTGGGTTTAAAAAAATATAATATATAGTAAAACAAAATAAAAACTCTGAAATATGATGAATAATAAATAAAAGTTACTTACTAACTATATAACTAAATTTAAAATACAGTGAATAGCGACATCTCTCGCCAGAACTGGTAGCTGTAAAGGTACTAACTGGGTGATAAATCTTTCATAGATTTCTCATAGATGGCGCTACGACTAAAAAATCGTTGAAAAACCAAATACAAAGACACGACACAAGCACATAGTAAAAATTCGTGAGGTCCGTTGGTTCGTTCCGTGGCTTAGTTGGTATAACGTCTGGCACGGTATGCAAGAAGACGTCGGTTCGAATCCGACCGGATCGAAGGAATTTTTTCTGAGTGTTCGATCTTTATATTAATAATTGTAACTAATTAACTAACAGCTTTTCAGGAGAAAGGTTCAAAGATTCAACAAACGAAATTACTGAAGATAACTTGATGATAACTGATAACTTGTGATGTTATCATGATGCATTATGACAGAATAGCTTCATATTAACCTTACATATTGCAAATTAGTGACACCGTTAATCTAAAAACGTACACTATATTAAATCAAATAAGCTGTATAATAGAACGGCTGCCCCATATCAAAACCTAGTAAGTGCTTCAGACAAAATTTTACAGGAGAACCCAAAAAACACTAGTCAAGGTCGCCCTTAAACTTTAATGTAAAAGCAATAGTATAAGATAGGATACCAATCATCGTTAAGTAATGTGAGCATTACTGCTCCCGGTTTTGAAGGGTAGGGGTCCTGGTGAGAATACAGGCACATAGGACTTGTCAACGTTAAGACTCAGGGCGACTGGCGCAGTGGCCGAGTCTCTCACACTTTTGTGATTCAAAGCTCTGAGCGGTACTACAGCTGTTATGGACCAGCCACCAGGCGCAGGACTTGTTCGTCCCGTTACTTGGTATCCGCTCACGCGATGCGCTCCTCCTACCGCAAAATGGCGGCTATTTGGTTTCGCAAATTAGAAAAGCATTCAGTTTAAATACAAGTTTTTATAAATAAAAATTATTATTCTGCATTGCTAAATAAATACCCTCCGTTCTACCAACAAAAACATCTCAAATAAAATGCAGTAATACACCGCAAATCCTGCACTTAAAAAGCATTAATGAAATTTTTGGTGTACTTGGATAAATATGATAATATTCCGTTTGAGTGGTTCTAACGTTTACCATGAAATTACTCCTTAAAGTATAGTTTATAAACATTTATATTCAGGGTAAACTAAAAAAACGCTACTTACGGTATGTTTCAATAAATAAACACCGAAATCCGTATTTTTGAAGTTGTTTATTTTTTTAAATGACAGACCCAGGCGTTAAAAACTTTATGGTTTGCTAGAGTAGTTACCGAAATAGCAATTAATATTAGTTATTTTTACTTAGTATTAGTCTTAGTCTTTGTACTCATCCATTCACCGCTCAAATTATCAGCCCCACCCTTTTATTTGAGAATAGAGTTAATCGCGACCACATTCCACCTGCAGGTCAAACTAGTGTTCACGTAGGTCAACACTCCCACCCAAGCCTCCATTGAAACGTAATCGTAACTTGTAGAGTTCACAGGTTACGTGAACTAGTAAACCTTAATTCCGTGTTGCAGGGCCAGCTGGAGGTATTAGCGCCCCTGTTTTTTTGTAATAGTGTACAATTGCGCGAACAGTGTGATAGCCCACATGGTGGAAACAGTCGTTGCCTATAGGCATTTGCGATACCTCTCAATCTCTCTCAATGCAGAACACAGTTTCTGTATAGAGAACTCTAGTCCAGTTACGTGATATTAATATACTTTGGTATTATAATGTACACCTTTAAAAGGAATGCGCACCTAAGAACATTGTAGCTAGATTGCAGTGCATTTGCACTAGCTTATTTACTTCGATTGAATTTAGTGACTTGTTAATTCCTTATTTATTAAAGAGACATTTATCCAGAAATTGAGCATAGTTGGCTAATTATCCATTAGCCAAATGGACGCTCATTAATTATGAGTAAATTATGTTCCAGAAGAAATTACGAAAGTGAACTTTTAAGTACCATAATTTTGGTTATTGTATTAGTGCCGTTAGACATTTCTTAATTTTTGCTTACAAATAACTTTTACATTTAGTCTCTCTCGCCAATTCTGTTTGAAAACTAGCAGCTTAAGATACTTATATACTGCATATACTGAGACGGCGCTATTTCACAGACTCGTTGTCATCAAAATTTTTATGTTCATACTTTTCTATTTGATAAGTATCTGTATCATATTAGCGATTAATCTTACTTCACCACGATGACAAGCATTATAGTACATGCCATCGATACGATAAGAAGATTTTAGCGATGTAAGTGTGTATCTGTTTATCTTCGATGCATTGCATCCATGACTGATTAATAGCGCCACAGTGACAATAATACGGACTCATCCTAAAACCGGCCAACAATGACCACGCATAACCCACTGTTCACAACGCATAGGCGAACGCATCTCGGGTAGCCGGTTAACGTTTCCGGGTGAACAATTTATTGCCATTCGTAAATACATTACACAATAATTAACATTTGTACTTAAATTGTTTGCAACAGGTTGATTTAACTTGGCAGAGATGCTATCTTTAACATTAGTGACTTGTTTATTATGAAATAGTGATATAAAATTTGTAGATAATCAATGCAATGTTCTTTGTGCACACAGTGTTTCTTGAAATGTTACCTTTGTAGAAATTAAGCAGTTGCCAAGATAGATAAAAAATATTGGACTTACTCTAAACATCTGCTAAGGAAGTGTAAAAATGCAGGATCTTCAGCCCTTACAGCTGCCGACAGCGTTCTGGAGCCTGGCCTTCTCTTCCTGCCTTTGGAGTTGGTTACTGTTCGTGGTGAGCCTTTGGAGTCTGCAGAGTCGTAAAAATAGTTTATTGTTACAATTATTCATTTAAAAGTTAATTATTCAGTTATGCCAATAGTTCTTGTTGCTGCAGTAATAATTTTAACACGAAGAAAAGATCTAATAATTTTTAATCTAATTAAATTGATTTATTATGTGCATTTGATGATATCGATCATATGTCATTACCGAAGAACAGTCTTTTTCTGGTGGCATGAATAAGTAGGTCTGGAGGTGGAGGCCCGAGTAGCTCCATGATGCAAGCCAACTGCTCCGCTTCGTTCTCTCCCGGGAACAATGGATAACCCGTATGGAGTTCCGCAAGGATGCATCCTAGGGTCATAAAGTTATACTATGCATAAATAAGTGACTCGTAACCATTTAAGTATTATAAGCATCTTCTAATACAATCGTAAATGTTATTCAGCGCCATAAATAATTCAACAGAATTGAGTAACGATTACTTTTGTAAAATTATGGAAACGCGACGCAGTCTCCTTCACTTATAATTCAATAATAGATTTACAAATTCATAAGAAGCTCTAAGTACCCCAGACCGCTGTATGGCATAAGTAATATTCAAGGCTTTGATTTGACAATACTTACTTAATATATTATTGAATACCTGTCACCTGGAACTTAGATTGCAAAATAAAAGTTGTGCAACAGCGTTGTGGTAATAAGAGCTTACTTATAGCATTTCAAATTCATAGTTTTATTGTAAAGGTGATTAGATTAGACTGTTATAAAATTATTACGTGCATTTAATCTAGTACACCACTATATACCTGCTTGAAATATTGCATAAGTTCTTTTGGAATTATTTCAATCTGTTTATTTTGGATCAAAAAGTGTCAAAAAACAATTTAAGAAGCTCGCATGAAAACTGGATTCTTACGAGTGTACCGATATCCGTTGAACACCTTTCTCTCTGCTTTCTACCGTGTTTGCGTAACATTTGAAAACAGGTGAGAATCGGAAATTATCAGCCAGTCAATGATCTTTTAAATTAACCTGTACGAATAGTCTTTTTCATACTTTGGTGTTATTCGTGTTAGTGTTTTCTGACTAATTAACACCGCCGCCGCCGTCGGTATTTTGCAGGATAGGTATATCTCGGAGAGTGTGCGATGGGATTGCAAGATTTAATTACGCCTTCCCCTTTCCATCGTCGGGAATCTAGATATTCCCAGGATTCGCACGAAACGTATCGTTTCCACATTTATATGGCTAGGGAGTGGAATTCCCTGACTGCGGATCTATTCCCCGAATCGCATAACTTGGATGTTTTTAAGGCGAGAGTGAGTCACTTTCGTTCAAATGATATGGAATTCAAATGCGCACTTATTCTCGTATAAAAAATAGTATTCAATTACATTGTCTTGAAATATAATAACCGAGAATGGTCAATTTGGATCAACTTTTCCAAAGAGATGATAGTAAAAATTAAATACAAAAATTTAAAAAAAATTTCACAAAAAAATAATTGAATATCAATTCAATAAAAATTTAATTAATACAGTGAATAGCGACATCTCTCGCCAGGACTGGTAGCTGTAAAGGTACTAACTGGGTGATAAATCTGTCAAAGATTTCTCATAGATGGCGCTACGACTAAAAAGTCGTTGAAAGACCAAGTACAAAGACACGACGCAAGCACATAGAGAAATTCGTGAGGTCCGTTGGTTCGTTCCGTGGCTTAGTTGGTATAGCGTCTGGCACGGTATGCAAGAAGACGTCGGTTCGAATCCGACCGGATCGAAGGAATTTTTTCTGAGTGTTCGATCTTTGTATTAATAATTATAACAAACTAGTGGAGTAATTTCACAAAAAATAATTGAATATCAATTCAATAAAAATTTAATTAAAATAGTATTAAATTATGTACATTGTCTTGAAATATAATAACCGCGAATCATTGACTTACAAATAAATGAACGACGGGTCTAATACAAAAACCACGAAAAAAATGTCCCAAGTCAACCTATTTAAACGTAGTGACATGTAAAGGAATATAAAAAAGCTAAAACGTTGAATTTAAATTGTAATGTCATCGCCGTACTGTCTAATTTTGCTTGCTTCGCTGTCAGTCGAACAAACGAAGACTAAAGCGTGAATGGCGCTCTGTATACGATTTTAACGCCCTATAAGTTCGGACACTTTTTAGCGCGGACCCGACGTCCATATAATTGTAAGTCAATGCCGAGAATGGTCAATTTGGATCAACTTTTCCAAAGAGATGACAGTAAAAATTAAATACAAAAACTTTTCGAGTAGAAATAGTTCTTTAAGGTTAGTAAACACAATAAACTGACTAAAAAGGTCATATGCAAGTAAATATGTTCGGTAGTGACCACAGACCGGAGTGACTAAGGCGGATTATTAATGTTACACCATTGTTAATGCAGCCTATCAATAAATAAATACCATTTACTTGAAACACAATAATAATAATGTACTAGACAACCACACCAATTCCGGGAATAGACCTATCGAACTTGAGACCATCCAGCGCCCACAGTGCCCTTGTGCCACCTAAGTCGTCAAACACACTTAAGATAATCTCAGTACAGAGTACTAAAAAAACCGACCTCAAAAGTTCGTGGAATTACGTCTATTTGCTAAGTTTTATTGAAATATCCTTAAATTCGCCACTATACAGGACTTGACACTGGATATAATAAAAATCGGTTCTCACTACTCAAAGTATATTAAGAGAAAAACGCCTTAAATTGGAGAAATAGAAAATCAACCATTAAAATAATTGCTCCTTAAGAAAATTTAGGCGCTATTTATAAAAATGAATCTTCATGCATGAACAGTTACAATTAGAGGTGGATGATTTCCTTCAACATGAAATGGGACCACTATGGAAGTACCCCCTTTCCAACAAAAAAGAATCATGAAAATCGGTTCACAAATACCGGAGTTATTGCGTAACATACATACAAAAAAAACATACAGTCGAATTGAGAACCTCCTCCTTTTTTTAAGTCGGTTAAAAATGAGCTTTTATCGTTGTGATATGAAATTCAACTTTTTATTCATAAGTGTCTTTAAATGTTCCAAATGTCATTTTCTGCTGCCTTTTCCAGATCCATTAAAACTAGCTGAAGTAGTCGTAATGCAGGAGATAATTTTTCCATAGTACTACCAGTAAAGAGAAAGGGTAGTCAAGGAATTATAAACCAATTATTTTATCACTAATTATTGGACCGGGAGAGTTGCTCAGGGGGAGGCTTATGTCCAGTAGTAGATTCGTGTAAGTTGATGATGAATGATAATAATAACGCACACACTCAACATAGCCCCGCACTAGGGAAACCCTGTATCGCGGGTGCCATGGAGACACATAGACAACCACAAATTACACTCAAACTCACGAGAAAAATAAATATAGGCCATACACATATTTCTCCCGACCCGGGAATCGAATCTGGGACCTCGCGTGGCAGTCCGGCGTGGTAACCGTCCGGCCACGGAGGCAGTTGATATGCTACTATCAATCAAATTTAATTGACAATCATCCACTTGGCTCTCCTCAACGCTTCATTTACTTCAGTCCAGTGCTACTTAGAGTCCCTGGTTTTCCACATGTAGATGAAAGGACAAATATGACCCCAATCGATGTTAGTCCTCTAAAAAAATATTAAATTTCCTATTGAATAATCCCGTATTCCATACCATTTGCGCATAAGTCAATAAGCTGAAGTATATTAACTTTTTCAACTGTCTTTCTCTCTTACTACAATATCATCATTAATTCTATTTTCTATGTGTTCTTTCTTTTTCTTTCTACCTATCTGTATAGTTTCTTATTACCTTTGGCAAATAAAGATGACTCATTCAGTTTTCTTTCATAATACAAGATAATTATTGAGATTTGAATTAATGAACTAGCTTATTTTATTACCTATACCTGCTTGGCACACTCGCCCACTCGTTAAACGTAAATAACGTAAGATATAAATGTCAACAAACAAATTTCATAGTTTGTGTTTTTTGCTATGGCCCACTATTCAAATTAGCCGTGCAATATCATCAAATCTGAAAGCTATTTTGCATTTTGTTACATAAGCTTCAGCTGTCTATTATACATTTGCATATTGACCAATAAACGTATTACAAAAAATTACGTTTTGTAATTTTACGTCGCATTTCTAAAATTTCACCCAATGACGTCATTCATTCATAATAAAAGTTCACAATGATGCTACGACTTACAGTGCCAAAGCCACAGAAAGCTGTGTACAGAAAGAAAATTGCACAGAGATCCAAGGAGCATGTCATGCTTGGCAATAAACGATCGAGTTCCGAAGTAAAGAGGCCGACCAAGGCGAACTTACTATATAACCAAACCAATGACGTCCTAAAGAAAGCACTAATGCAAGTTGATGAGGCGAAAGACGTGTGTTAATATCGTAACAAGTGGACGGTTGTCGTCTCTGCCTACACCGATGAGAAAAGGTGTTATTGATATGTATGTATATGAGTTCCGAATTCTGAAATACGAAGACAAACTAAAGTCCGTATAACGAAGCTAAAATGGAGTTGGACAGGAGATATTGCAAATCGTATTGACAGATGGGAAAAAGCTACAACCGAATAATGATCAAGAAGTGGTAAAAGAAAGAGTTTGTCCAGAGAAGTACTGCCACCTCACCTATTTCTGCCGCTAAACAGTAAAGAGAGCATTATTGCGCTCCGCTTTTGAAGGGTTAAGAGGGCTGGTGAAATTACAGGCACATGGGACATGTCAACGTGTGTCGCAGTGGCAATGTCCCTCAGGTTTTTTCGATTTATTACTCTGAGTGGCACTGTAACTACTATGGACAGGCGTGTCGCTTACCACCAGGCGCACGACTTGTTCGTCCTGTCACTTTGTATCTAAAAAAACAACGTGGAATGTCCAGCAGCGAAATGGGTGACGACACCGGCTAGTCGCCGGCCGTACATGGGTGAGACTAGCGCAAGATCGTAGTGGGTGTATATGATGATTATGATGTCATTAATTCATGTAAGTAGGTAATAACTTTGAATTGTGTTTACCCTAAATTAACGGACCGACTCGGAGTCCCAAGAACTGGTAAGTACTTCGTGTCGCGAAAATCCAATTTCATATATCTAATGCGGCCCTAGTCTAGTTATTAAGTTCTTTTATTGTAGGTTAATCATTTATGTCTTTATGTTTATAGGTATCAGCGGCAAAGGTTTTTTTTATAATAATAAATGAAAGGGTCGAGCAAATCCTGGACGAATAGAGCCCGTCACTTAAAAAAACGTGGAATGTCCTGCAGCGAAATGGGTAGACGACATCTTCAAGTCGCCGCGGC